GAGCCTGGTTATGTTCTGTTATCCCAAGTCTAGTCTAAATGTTACAGTCTGGTCTCACAAGGGATTGAGGGAACAGTACACTTTCCTGCTACTGAGTTAGTAAGGAAGCAGCACTCCACTGAAACTAGCTTGACGCTAGTGGTAACAATTAGAAATGCACCCCGAGTGTGGATGCAGGTCTCAGGGTGGAGGAATCAGAGCCACACTGTCCAGGTACCATCTGGTGGAGATTTTTCCTTCTTGCTAAACTTGGGAGGATTGTGGATCCTCCAAGTTTTCCTTTTTACTATAGTCAAAACTCTTCCTACTTTTTACTATGAAAAAACCAAGTGAGTTAGCTTACACAGCAGTTGTCTAATTGACATTCAAAGAGCTATAACCAACATTCAAAGAGCCACCACTAACTTGATGACTGTGGTACTCAATGAAAACTTCTGTGGTTGTTTTTCTGAAGTATTAAATGCACTACATGAAAAAACAGACTTTTAAAATTCTAGTGATAAGTAGCTTTGAAATTAAATGGCTTACCATGGAAAGGTCACTGTTGGCTTTGTTTGTGAACGTGTCTCCACTAGCACAGTCAATGCCAAACAATGCACAGATGTCTCCAGCATATACTTCCTCAACATCCTAAAAAAACAAATAAAACAAAATGATATTTGATATAAGTAATACAAATAAAGACGTGGTAACTAAAAAGTAACTGTACAGTACACACATTGTATATAAATAAGCATGGCAGAATCTCTCAGCTTGAATTCTACAGTGAATTAGCTAGAATCAATACAACAACAATCAACCATGCTAAGATGTATTTTTAAAAGGCCTTCATTTAAACCATATGTCAACAGACAAGATTTTAAACAGAAAACTCATTACTTGAAGGATCTGCAGTACCAACAACACAGTGCCTCAAAGTTCTAAAGTTATTTCTATGGAATTAAAAGGCATGTACTGGCGGGGCATGGTGGCTCACGTCTGTAATACCAGCACTTTGGGAGGTCGAGGCAAGTGAATCACCTGAGATGAGGAGTTTGAGACCAGCCTGCCCAACATGGTGAAACCTTGTCTCTACTAAAAATATAAAAAATTAGCCAGGCATGGTGGCGGGTGCCTGTAATCCCAGCTACTCGGGAGGCTGAGGTAGGAGAAACACTTAAAACTGGGAGGCTGAGGTTGTAGTGAGCCAAGATCGCGCCACTGCACTCCAGCGTGGGAGACAAGAGCAAAACTCCATCTCAAAAAAAAAAAAAAGGCATGTACTATATATGTTGCCGCAGTTAGACAATGAGATTGTGTATGACAGAGATATACCAGGAAACCTGTAAAGGAAGTTTTGAAAACAAAGGAGAATGGAGCCCACTGTACTAAAAATAATTTTAATTTCTCACAGATGTAAGCAGTCAAGAAAACACAGGAAATCTAAGAACAAAGCATTGGTGCCTCCAAGCTTCCTAGTTTTTGTCCTTTTACATTTACAGTTCATTCACAACAACTGTGGCTGTGAGTAAACATGTCTTTCTTTAATGGTGACATAGCTACACAAATCTTCCAGCTCCTGGTCCATGAAACAGCTATGACAATCATTTAGCCTGCCCCCTGCTGCCTATCTCACAAAACAGCAATGCTGTTGGGTTTTGAGACTGACAATTCCTCCTCTAGAAGAAACAAAAGTTATAGCTACCAAAAAATTCATAAGATTTTGCTTAGACTGATACATTTCTCCAGGAATATATAGCTGGATTGGGAGAGGGCGGGAGTAGGGGACAAACTCATGCACTCAGTATTCCTTCCAAGAACTAACCATAAGGACTACAGAAGGCTATAGCAGACTCCAAGCCAACTCAAGAATTCAAGGCGTAAGTCAAAGTTTTATCTCCCAGATCAGCCCCTGAAGCTTTAAATCTTCAGGTGGATTCTGGCCCCAATATGGTCCTGTAGTGGGTTCTACAATAGGAATAAAAGCTCCGGGGTTAAACAGGGCTTTTGTGCCTGCTGTATTTCAGAAAGTAAATAAAACAATGTGGAAAAGTGTGTAAATTTATGATTCTCTTATCTTTAAGAATCACAGTTCCACAGTCTTAAATGCCTATTACATTCTTTGTAATGATAGTTCTTGAGGAAAGTGCTGAATCTTATATTCTGAGTGTTAGGAAACTATCTCTTTTCCTTAACCCAGGCCCTTGAGAAAATATAACTAACTCACAACTAGTGGTATTTAAAAAAACTGAGTTGTTAACATCTGCTAATTTAGCCTACAGCAAAGTGCTAGATCAGAGCTGCAACACATTTAAGTAAAAAGGAAAAAACTAGGAACATACATTTAACCAGAATTAATTTTCTAGTGGGGCTCAGGATACCAAGAAAGGTCTATTTCACCCATATTAGAGGAATTTCTAATCTCACGATGACCCTGTACTTGCCTCCATCATGTCGGCATGCATGCGAGTCAGCCGTTGCAACCGTACTTTCTTTCTTGTCCTTGTGTTATAGATGGTGTCACCCTTCTTTAGCTCTCCCTGGTAAATGCGAACGTAAGTTAATTGTCCAAATCGACCTACCTAGAAGTCAAGATCGGGTAGGGGCAAGAAGAATAAAAAGAAACATAATAATCAAAATACTGAGGAAAGCTTCATAAGTCCCTCCGAGTATTCTCTACCAATTTTAGTAAACTATCTTACATACTTCAGTTTATTGTCATAAACTAATACTAGCTTTGAACACAGATAAATGGCTGTTATTCATCAATCTTTTTGGTATCACAATCTAAGTTATTTCTGTTTCCTTTGAAATAAGCTATTAGTATTAGAACAAAATTTTTAAATTTTTTACATAATACAGAAGTATCTTTTGCCTTCTAACATTATTTCGTAAGTTTAATACAATAAGATATCAGACAAAACAAGGTATAACTGGAAAAACAACAAAGATACCATTAGAAACAGTAGGTGTGTGCTATACATCTAAAATACAATCTCTGATAATCATGTGGAAAATTATGCAAGTAAGAGTTCTGTGGCTGGGCTGGTCGCTCAGGCCTGTAATCCCAGCACTTTGGGAGGCAGAAGCAGGTAGATCACCTGAGGTCAGGAGTTCAAGACCAACCGGGCCAACATGGCAAAACCCCATCTCTACTAAAAACACAAAAATCAGCCGGGGGTGGTGTTGCACCTATAATCCCAGCTACTCGGGAAGCTGAGGCAGGAAAATTGCTTAAACCCGGGAGGCGGAGGTTGCAGTGAGCCAAGAACGCACCATTGCACTCCAACCTGGGTGACAGAGTAGGTGAGACTCTGTCTCCAAAAAAAAAAGAGTTCTGTGAAGTGATTGAATATACTAGCAGTGACCAATTAACATATATTTAAAAGTTCCCAGTTCTTACCATGTTAATTGTACGCTTAACAAAATAGCAATAGAAATCCCAACAGGAAATTTTAAACATGTGATTAGTGATTTTAAATTCATTCAGAGGAATAAATAGGTAAAAACAGAAATTTTTCAAAATCTATGGTAATGATATAAAACTAACCCTGACATATATAAAAACATATTAAAATGCTTGAAACTCACAAAGTTCAGAAACAGCACAAATTAAACTAACCACCCCATACAGTATAGTATAAAAATCTAAAGTATAAAATATATTTGTCAATAGATGGTAAGGAAAGATGACAAATCAATGGAAAAGGAAAAAAGGATTGTGCATAAAGTACCAACTGGACAAATGATACTCTATTTGGAGGCAGAGGAAATACATTTAGATCCTACCCACCAAACCAAATACCAGTTGAATTAATAATGGGGAAAGAAAAAAAAAAAAAGCGTAAAAAAGTAGAAGGAACGAAACTAAATATTAACAAAATATACACAAATAAAAGGTTTCTAAGGTTAAAAATTAAAGAATGACTAAACGAAAAAGACTGACATATTTGAGTATATGAACTTTAAAGCACCGATTGCTTTTAAAAATCAAAATGTATTTCATCAAGATGAAAGATTACAATAAAATTTTTCATTTGTTAAATCAGTAATGATTTTTAAATAATACTCAATGATGATATTCGTTGAAATAATCCAATACATTAATTTGGAGAGTACGAACGCAATCTGGCAATATAAACCATTAAATATGAAAACATTCTATGCCTTTAACTCAATAATCACTATTCTGGGAATCCTAAGAAAATATTCTTATAGATGTATTTTTAAAAGCTTTACGTGTAAAAAATTTTACTGTAATGTTTCTACTTTTTAATTAAAAAAATTTTCCCCTAATTTTGGAGGTAATAAATATACTGTAAAATATTTTTAAAGTAGGAAAAAGCCCCCAAAATATAATCCCATCCCAGAAATAACCACTCTTAACACTTCCAACTTATCTACCACTTTTCCCCACTTAAAATATTACTAACAGAAGCAACAGCATTTCCACAAAAAGCCCATCCAGTCCCCAAATCTTGGTTTCTAATGCCATTTTACTTAAAAAGGAACCAGTGCTCCTTGGAGAATGGCTGACTCTAGGGCTAGGACACGGAATATACAAGATAAGCCTGGAGCGTCTTGTAGTGCTGGCAAGTAAGGAAGTATTCTCAAAAAGGCAAAACATTAGAAGATATTAAAGGAACACAGGAGTCAACTGAGAGTTCCCAATCGCCAAACCCAGTCACTCTGAACAACAAATGACATACTCAAAGTCATAGTCATGATTATAACTCAAAGTTCAAAATACGTATACATGAGTCCATACTGATATTAAATAAGCGATTGTCCAAATAAACAAATGAGCACGGAAGAAAGACCAATCTCCATTCAGAAGAATTCCAAATAACTTATGTAGTAGATACTGCCCCCTCAAGGGGGTGGAACATAATTCCCCACCCCTTAAGTGTTGGCTGAGTCAAGTGACTTCCTTTTAAAAAGTACACTATGAAAAGGGGAATAAAAAAAGTACAGTAACTTTATAGCGGAGAAACCTGTCAAACACTATCTCAGCCAGGTGTGGTGACTGAGGTTAGCATTAACAATGATAAATCATGCCGCAAGTCTGTACCTTGGATATGATGCAACAAGAATAACACTTTACCTCGATGGTAGTCCTCCTAAAAACATGACTCCAATCTAATCATGTGAAAAACATCAAATAATAAACCCAAATTGAGCGACACTCTACAAAAGAGCTGACCAATAATTCTCAAAAATGTCAATCTCATGAGAAACAAGAAAGTCTAAGAAACTGTTACAGCCTAGGAGAGCATGAGGAGACACGACAATCAAATATAACATGGTCCTCTGGAGGGACCTTCTGTAGTCCTTCTGTCTAGTGAGACGGAAAAAGGACCTAGACAAAAACTAAAGAAATTCAAATGAAGTATGGATTTTAGTTAATAATAATATACCAATATTGGTCCATTAGTTGCGACAGTGTATATTAACAATAGAGGAAACTGGGTGCAGGATATACAGGAATTCTGTGGACTATCTTCAAAATTTTTTCTTTAAAATATTCTAAAATAAGTAAGTTTGTTTCTTTTTAAATCACAAACATCTTTTCATGTCAAAAAATAAGCATTTCAACACAACTTTTAAAGTCTGAATAATGTTGCACTATAAGAATGTACCTCAGTTTATTTATCATATTGTAATTACTGGGCATTTTATTTTTATTTATTTATTTTTTTTTCGAGATGGAGTCTTGCTCTGCCGCCCAGACTGGAGTGCAGTGGTGCGATCTCGGCTCACTGCAACCTATGCCTCCCGGGTTCAAGCAATTCTCCTGCCTCAGCCTCCTGAGTAGCTGGGATTACAGGTGCCTGCCACCATACCTGGCTAATTTTTGTATTTTTAGTAGAGACGGGGTTTCACATGTTGACCAGACTGGTCTCAAACTCCTGACCTTGTGATCCGCCCCTCTCAGCCTCCCACTCCCGACCTTGTGATCTGCCTGCCTCGGCCTCCCAAAGTGCTGGGATTACAGGTGTGAACCACCGCGACCGGCTGGGCATTTTCAATTGTTTGTGAGATTTTGGTTTTATAAGGTGAGCTGAAGCTAACATTAATTCGCTACCCTTCATTAGTTCCTTAGGACATATTTCTAGAAATGGACCCAATGTTATTTATAATAGCAGAAACCTGGAAACAATATGAACGTCTAACAATTAGGAAATTTTAAGCAAATTTTGGTGTATCTACTTGATGCACTGTTACGCTACTACTTAAAATGTTTAAACTATTTATAGAAACATGGACCATTATCTATTGTGACATTAAATAAAAAGAGCAAGACAAAACTATACAGGTAGTATGAGTTCAGTAAAAATGTACACTCTTCAGGCAAAGAGAAGAGACTAGAAAGAAATGCACCTAATAACAAAAGAACTATCATGTCAGAGCTTTGGAAATTCTCTATCTGCTCCTTCTACTTTTCCTATTTTACGCATCTTTCATAAAGGTCAGAGTCATTCTGTAATAGGAATAAAGCCTAGAAGTAAAAACATTCTACAGATAGCAGTTAAATACATTAAAAAGCAACTTACCTCCAGTTTAAAAGCCAGGCCTACAAACGGGTGGGAATTGTCTCTACTGGAGTTCATTAGGATTTTGGTTTTCTCTTTTGAGTCACTTAAAATGAAAGAAATATAAATCTATGAGATGTAATATTGATATTTCTATCACTTTATTTCATCAGGAAGTATTATCTGAGAAAAAGCACGTGTGTGGGATATTACTGGTGTCATACATAAGTAAAATTTCACTGAAAGAGATCAATAGAAATAAGTTCTCAGCTGGGCATAGTGGCTTATGCCTGTAATCCCCACACTTTGGGAGACCAAAGTGAGAGGATCACTTGAGCTCAGGAGTTTGAGGTTGTGGTGAGCTATTACTGCACCACTGCACTCCAGCCTAGACAACTGAGCAAGACTTTGTCTCCAAAAAAAAAAAAAAAAAAAAGGTCTTCAGAGCTTAGCTTAGTTACTACACAGTGATAGGACAAGAGTAGACTAAAAAACACAGAAATGGTCTCATAGGGAAAGAAAAGAAAATAATCAATGAGTTTTTTTTTTTTGAGTTGTTTTTTTTTTTTTTCTGAGACACAGTCTTGCTCTGTCACCTAGGCAGGCTGGAGTGCAGTGGCGCAATCTCGGCTCCCTGCAGCCTCCGCCCTCT